TCGTTGGTGGAGGATTAAACCCTCTACTCAACTACAACAGAATGTCAGGAACTAGAATCCTGAGCAACGGTAAAGTATCTGGAAGACGTATAGATACGATCTTCAGAGTACTGAAACAAGATAGTGAGAAAATCAAGATCTCACGAAGATGGGCTGTAAGTGACCATCTACTACTTAAGAGAACTATCACTCTTCCTTCTCCAGTAGTAGAAAGTTCATTTGCTTATAACAGAAAAAAGCTTGAGGATCCTAATGTGGAAGTTAGGCTCTCGAGGCTTTTGAATGAAGCCTCATTCACAATAGAAGAACTACCAAAAGTTCTAAAAGAGGTATGTATATCTGCAAAGGTATATGAAAAGGTTAAGGCTTTCAAAGGATTGCCAATAAGGTGGAGGCATATTAATGTCTTTAAAAGGTTTAGACATGCGACCAAGCACGTCTTAAGAAACTGGAATGATGTTACTGTATCACGATACAGGTCATTGAAAAAGAAGGTTCAGGAAACCAGAGTGAAGGTTCGACGAGAAAGAGCCAAGCTTTGGGCCTTTAGAGGTGTCAACCTCTATAAAAGTAATCGCTCCAGAGACTTCTGGAAGTGGCTAAAGGGCGTGTCTAACACATCTGTTAGACTAGACAATGTGTGCCTGAAGGATGTAGCAGGCATAGCTCACACCGAGCAAGAAAAGAAGCTGGAGATAGCAAATGACTTTTATGCTACTCTAGCAGGAACGAACATAGATAATAGAAGCATCTATACTAAAAGTATTGAAAGCAATCCTCCTGAGGACATCACAATGGAGGAATTACTTAGAGCCACAAATAATTGTGGCAACAACAAGGCAGCCGGTCCGGATGAAATTCCAACCGAGCTATACAAGGTACTGCTGAAGCCCAGCTCAGTAGAAAAAGAGCTTCCCCCATTCCTTGTGGATGAGTTTAACAGGATACTATCGGGTGCCAGTCCACCCAATAGTTGGAGTGCAGCTGACATGGTCTGCCTCCACAAAAAGGGAGATGTGTCAGATCTAAATAATTACAGAGGTATAGCGTTGATTAACACAATCAGCAAGATATACCTCAAAATAGTCAATGACAGACTTACTCAGTTTGTTGAAGAAAAGAGCATTCTTTCACCATACCAGGCAGGTTTCAGAGCTGGTGAAGAATGTATGAACCAGATTGCAACCTTACTCGAGGTTGTCAAGAGAAGGGAGTTTCGAGGCCTCAAAACACTTATGTGTTTTATTGACTTTGAAAAAGCTTACGATAATGTTAGCCATGAGCTATTATTTAGTAAGCTAGAAAAGTATAGTGTGCCAGGATATCTTATCAACACGTTGAAGGATATCTACGGTAACACTAAGATGAGGATTCGCATCGGCGGAGATACAAGTAGTGGCTATAGCTACAGAAAAGGTGTGAGACAAGG